TTTACCCTCCCTTTTATCAATATGGGGGTCATACTGATTAATATTTAGTGTTAAATTACTGCAAGCAGCCACTGGCTGCTCACTGTTTAGGCAACATGTTCCTATTCACGGCATACTGTGAGTAGGGACATAGGGGAAGATTTAACCTACCTTTTATCAATAGTGACCCCCATTGGTATTAATGCAGAGGGGGTAGGAATAGATTTTTATTTATTACAAGGAGTAATAATTTTTGCCTTCGCAGTGCTGTTTTCGGCCTAATGGACGAAAACAAATAATTTTTTAACGAATTTCATTCGAAAACTAATGGTTTGCCGTCGAAATTCAGTATTGACGAGTAACATTTTTATTCAGTGTGGAATCATTCGTACGAAACGAAAATTTCACTGGTGCACATGTTTAATACAAAGGAGTCTGATTCAGAAAATGTCCAACATTTATTAAACAGAACATAGCTTTTAAATCATATGCAATAAGGGGGTCTAGGGGGAGTATCATTAATTACCAATCAAATATTGACAACTATTAACAGCATGGAAAGGTAGTGCAGACAGCATCAAATATGCAACAAATTGATTCTAAGTTTATCTAGAGGGCATTACTAGGCAGGGTGTTCTTAGAATAGGAGGGTGTAGCGATAGGGTCTTACTAGAAGAGAGGGAACAAAGATGGTCATGTGCCATACTACATATGTGACGTCCTTTCAATGATTCAGCTGAACAGAAACTAACCACTTCATTAAGCTGTAGTGGTTCTGGGGCCTATAGTGTCCCTTTAAGAATTATATTTTTTTTTTGTTGAAAATATAGCTTTGTTAGTTTTAGAAAAAGCAACAACCTGACTCCTAACTAACCGCGGATTAAGTCCACATAGTAGCAGGTGTGGTTTGTGAAATAGGAGCCCGGGCATAAGATGCTGCCTAGAAAGTATTGCGTATTGGACATGTCCAAAGGTGATGTGAACTAGCACAGCTGTGTATTGTCCTAAAGGCAAGGTAGAATATCCAAAAAATGGTCAATAACTGCATTTTTCTCCTGCTAGATGTTTAAAGCCCACAGAGGGAGGGCACAATGAGTCCAGGTTAGATGGAAGGATATTGAATAAATAAAATGAAAAAATAAATGATTAACATTTTTTCTATGATATTTCTTGCCTTTAAAACAGTGGCAGTAGTAAACACAGTGCCATATGCCCATTCCGTATTACAAAGTGTATATTTCACAATATTCGGCTAACATGTCCTTATGAAAGTGTATGAAAATGCCCATATAAAAACACAAGTCACTACAGCCAACTGACAAGCTACCACAGCCCTTGCAAAATAAGCGACAAAATGGCCTACACCAGCCTATAAATGGCAAACCATTGAAAAAGGAGGTTTTTTTTTTTTTGGTTTTTTTTAATGTGTAAAACCGTATTTAATCTGTAAAACATACGGTTGAGTTGAGTAGGAGGTAGTGCCGTTTTCTACAGCCGGGAGTTTCTGCACCTCAGATGAAGATTGGTTGTGAGTAAATAGTTAGAAAGACCACACAGGTGTAAAGTTAAAGGGCACTGTGTCAGGATTTTTATAGGGGGCTCTGAAAGAAATTGCGCCCAATAGTGGCACAATCTTAGTGTGCTCCAATTTCCAACATTAAGTCATGACAAAAGAAGGGAGTTTGCGCTATTTGTGCTGTTTCTGAACTCCCACGTTGCTCTGGTGCTATTTGCCTAAAATTGCTCTAATAATCTCCACCAAACTGTGCGTGGCAGAGTCTCAATTTCAGAAGCCAAATGTGTTATGTGATGTATAAAACCAGTTGTGACGAAACCAGTTGTTGCCCCTTCATCACTGAGATTTGGAGAGGCCTGCTTGCCAGTCTCTTGCACTGTGACCCCCCTGGCATGTATTGCCCTTTAAAAACTTTATTTGGGCTTATTGGATTTGAAAACACTTTTTCTGCCCCTTTAAATCCATAGGAAAATGTTCCTCTACCCCTTCCCCCTTTTTCCTGTCCTATTGTTCTCCAGCAGGGTGTTGTCCCAGGGACACTGCCAGACCAGTTTAACCCCTTACTGACCAAACTTCTGGAATAAAAGGGAATCATGACATGTCACACATGTCAAGTGTCCTTAAGGGGTTAAACTAACTGCATTGTACCTCCTCAATCTCCCATCAGCCCTTGCTATTTTCTATGTACTATAGGGACCTTTTAACATTGGACATATTGAGCGCTCAGATCCAAGCTATCTGGGGATATGTTGGACAAATAGGTTAAACATTGTATTATAAGAGTTATGTATTTTTATGTGGTTTTTGTAACTGTTTCAAACTTAGAGATCTTTCCTGTACCTGGAGATAATAAAGTTACCACAGCCACTTAAAGGACCACTATAGAGCCAGGAAAACATACTCGTTTTCCTGGCACTATAGTGCCCTGAGGGTGCCCCCACCCTCAGGGACCCCCTGCCGCCCGGCTCTGGAAAGGGGAAAAGGGGTTAAACTTACCTTTTTCCAGCGCTGGGCGTAGAGCTCTCCTCCTCCGATCCTCCTTCTCTCCTCCCCATCAGCTGAATGCGCACGCGCGGCAAGAGCTGCGCGCGCATTCAGCCGGTCACATAGGAAAGCATTCTCAATGCTTTCCTATGGACGCTTGCGTGCTCTCACTGTGAAAATCACAGTGAGAAGCACGCAAGCGCCTCTAGTGGCTATCAATGAGACACCCACTAGAGGATTAGGGGGAAGGCTTAACCCATTCATAAACAGCAGTTTCTCTGAAACTGCTATGTTTATGAAAAAATGGGTTAACCCTAGCTGGACCTGGCACCCAGACCACTTCATTAAGCTGAAGTGGTCTGGGTGCCTAGAGTGGTCCTTTAAGCCAATTAACTCGAGGATAAAGGAGTAGACCGGCCGCACAGCCGAAATCTGTGGAACTGTTTGGGGCATGAAAGCCATGCTTGCGGTCGGTCAAATGACACTTCCATAAATCTTTTGAACCCCTGCTCTGATCTGGGTGATTTTTGGATATGTTGTTCACCCAGATCAGGGCTATCCAGGGATGTATAATATGGGGATGTGTTATGTTTTGGGGTGTTTCCTGGAACTTGGGGAAAATGTGTGTTTTTCTGCTTGTGGATAATTAGGTTATTGTATTAGCTGCTTTAATTATATCCAGGGGCGTATTTGCCTTGGGCGGCATTTTTCAGGGGGCGACAAAAAAGCCGCCCCCAAATGCCCAGGGCAAATGCCTAGTTAGCTTCGCGGCTAACAGACATGTCGGGCGGGTGGCCGGCGAGGGAGCTCTTCCCCTGAGCTGTCTGCTCAGCTCCCTCACGCGCCGCCGAGTGAGGCTGGGAGCCGGAAGATGACGTCATCTTCCGGCTCCCAGCCTCACTCTGCTGGCGGCGCACGAGGGAGCTGAGCAGAGCGCTCAGGGGAAGAGCTCCCTCGCCGGCCGCCCGCCCGCCCGCTCTGCAGCCACTGGACCCCAGGGAGAGGAAGAACCCCCCCAGCATTCCCAAAGGTAAGGAGGCTGAGGGGGTTAAATAAATAAAAAATCACAAGTGAGTGTGTTAGTGTGTGTGTGTGTGTGTCTGTTAGTGTGTGTCTGTCTGTCTGTTAGTGTGTGTTTGCCTGTTAGTGTGTGTGTGTGTGTGTGTGTGTGTGTGTTTGTCTGTTAGTGTTTGCCTGTTAGTGTTTGCCTGTTAGTGTGTGTGTCTGTTAGTGAGTGTGTCTGTTAGTGAGTGTGTGTGTTTGCCTGTGAGTGTGTGTGTTTGCCTGTGAGTGAGTGTGTCTGTTAGTGAGTGTGTGTTTCTGTTAGCTAGTGAATGCGTATCTGTCAGTGAATGTGTGTGTGTGTGTGTATTTAGAAGGCGGAGCAGGGGGGAAGGGTTTGGTGGCGTTTGCGCGGGGGGGTGCCTGAGTTTTGTCCTGCCTAGGGCAGCACAAAACCAGGATACACCACTGATTATATCCGAGGCAGAGGAGAGGGCTTGTGTGCTGTATGTGGGAGTGTTGAACATTATTGTATTGTTTTGATTGGTTTGTGTCCTGTGTCCTGTGCTCCACAAGAAGAACTACCTACACTCTGGGGATTGCTATAATCACTATACTCCCCAGAGTAAGCTGTTGTAAGAGCTTGTTCCTGTTCCTGTTCTCTGGATTTAGGAGAGGTCTGCCTACTGGAAGCTTGGGCCCAGAGACAGCGAGACCCCGACCAAGATGCGGCGGTTCGTGGGGTCTGCGGTGGTTATGGTTTCTAGTGGAGTGCTTGGAGCCCTCGGGAAGCACTAGGAGCATCCGTCAACGGAAGGTACCCAGTCGGGGTGCCAGGCATTCCGTTACACCATTGCAATGGATTTTATAAATATAACCGCCAATGCACCTCTTCTCACCTTCCTGACACTTGCGGCTGCCGCTCCCTGGACAAAATCACCCTCTATGAGTCCATGACAAATGAAAAAATGTTGGAGTCAGAAACGAACCAGACCAACACCCATAAACTAAACAATAAATATAGGTATATAGTGACACTGCGGAAGTCAAAAGAAGAAAATCTCAGCATTAACAGTACAATGTGTTTATGTAAATTTTATTTCAAAGCAATGACATGAATATGGGTGTTGTATCTAATTACAGTGCCATATATCCTCCGTCACCTTACGTGGGTCTATATACTGCCCACTCCAATTTCTCCATTGCCAGCAATTGCATCCCTTTACTTTCACATTGACATGCACATATACCAGCAGTGTCTGCCATGGCCACCCATAAACAATGGAAACACCAACTATGGGCTGAGTCTTCATTAATGTGTAAAGGGTTAACATGATCCTGATTTCCAGCAGAGCTTCACACTGAAACAGTCATCCCATCAATACATTTCCCACTAATATCCCCATGTTTCCAGGCTCTGCCCTCACACTGCATAGAGACCAATAGGAGCTCTGCCCACAACAAAGATGGCGTCTGAGGGTCAGCCTCGGTGACGTCATATTAAAGAGCCGGATTACAGATCTCTACTATGAAAACTACTGGGACATGAAAAGCCCCCCATCCAGTGCTGTACAAAGAGGTAGTGGATACAGTGCTGGGCAACACAGGGAGCAGCAAATCTGGAGTAAATAGTGCTGTGAGTGATAAATATACAACTATCTGGGTATATAGACTGTGTACATTGTATATTATACAGCCCTGGGTATATACTGTGTATATAATGTATGGGGGTAAATATACACCCCCTGTATATACTGTGTATATAATGTATGGGGTAAATATACACCCCCTGTATATACTGTGTATATAATGTATGGGGTAAATATACACCCCCTGTATATACTGTATATATAATGTATGGGGTAAATATACACCCCCTGTATATACTGTGTATATGTATGATATACACCCCCTGTATATACTGTGTATATAATGTATGGGGTAAATATACACCCCCTGTATATACGGTGTATATAATGTATGGGGTAAATATACACCCCCTGTATATACTGTGTATATAATGTATGGGGTAAATATACACCCCCCTGTATATACTGTGTGTATAATGTATGGGGGTAAATATACACCCCCTGTATATACCGTGTACATAATGTATGGGGTAAATATACACCCCCTGTATATACTGTGTATATAATGTATGGGGGGTAAATATACACCCCCTGTATATACTGTGTATATAATGTATGGGGGTAAATATACACCCCCCTGTAAATACTGTGTATATAATGTATGGTGGTAAATATACACCCCCTGTATATACTGTGTATATAATGTATGGGGTAAATATACACCCCCTGTATATACTGTGTATATAATGTATGGGGGGTAAATATACACCCCCCTGTATATACTGTGTATATAATGTATGGGGTAAATATACACCCCCTGTATATACTGTGTATATAATGTATGGGGGTAAATATACACCCCCTGTATATACTGTGTATATAATGTATGGGGTAAATATACACCCCTGTATATACTGTGTATATAATGTATGGGGTAAATATACACCCCCTGTATATACTGTGCATATAATGTATGGGGTAAATATACACCCCCTGTATATACTGTGTATATAATGTATGGGGTAAATATACACCCCCTGTATATACTGTGTGTATAATGTATGGGGTAAATATACACCCCCTGTATATGCTGTGTGTATAATGTATGGGGTAAATATACACCCCCTGTATATACTGTGTATATAATGTATGGGGTAAATATACACCCCTTGTATATAATGTATGGGGTAAATATACACCCCCTGTATATACTGTGTATATAATGTATGGGGTAAATATACACCCCCTGTATATACTGTGTATATAATGTATGGGGTAAATATACACCCCCTGTATATACTGTGTATATAATGTATGGGGTAAATATACACCCCCTGTATATACTGTGTATATAATGTATGGGGGGTAAATATACACCCCCTGTATATACTGTGTATATAATGTATGGGGTTGTGACAAACTCCCCTCCACAAGCTCTTGGAGGAGCCAGCTTCCTGCCCACAGACTATAGGCCCTGCAGGGAAACCTGTAAAAGACTACCAAACGTGACCGACCGCTAGCACTGATTTTCTGGAACTGTTTCGGGCATAGGACCATGTGCACAGTCGGTCAAAATGTGACTTCCATAGAATTTCTGAACCCCTGAACTGATCGGGGTGATTTTTGGATATGTTGGTCACCCAGATCAGGGCTATGAGGGGATGTAACATTTGTGGGGATATCATGTGTTTTGTTTTTAGAAATGTATGGGTTTTTTTCTGTGCTTGGAGATAATTGGATTAGAATTAGTACAGTTACTGATCCAATATCTCCCAGGAAGTGCTGAGGGATTGTGTGTCATGTGTGGGAGTGCCTTACATTGTAAATGTGTTATTATTGGTTTGTAAGTTTGTTGCCCTCGTCATTCAGCAAGACCTATCTTTTCTTGCCAACCGGGAGTGGGAACTAGAACAGGATTATGTTTGCCTATTCCAACGGGTAACGCTGCCTGTCTCTGACATGATGGGGCTTACGGACTGTATAACACCGAGACCGTTGAGTTTCGTCCCTCCTCCCCAGCAACTAAGCCTGTCATCTGGAGACCTGGGCACTGTACCACCTACTTTCTAACCAGCCCCAGAGATACTGGTCCTGGGGCTGGTTGGGAAGTAGGTGGTACAGTGGACAGGTGGAGATGAGACTGAGGTCTCTCCAACTGCCCTACAGGGATGAGGGCAGCTGGCCCAGATCTCCAACCCCAGATTGAGATGTTAAGAGTGGGGACGGTCGGTCTCACTCCCCAGTGGCAGTGAGGTACAGGGAACAGAGACCCCGGTCTTGTTCCCCAACTGCAGTGTGTGTCCTAAGGAGAGAAAGATTTCATCCTTCCACTCCAGCGGCAGAGTGTGTTATTGGGAGAGGAGAGTATCGTCCTCCATCTCCAGCGACAGAGTGAATTACAGGGAGTGGAGATGGTCGGTCTCAGTCCCCAGTGGCAGTGTGCAACTCAGGGAGAGGAGAGTATCGTCCTCCAGCATCCACGGGTGTTACAGGGAGTGGAGGCAACCGGTCCCACTCCCCAGCGGCTGTGTGTATTCCAGAGAGAGAATGGTGTCGCTCTTCCTCCTCGGTGGCAAAGGGTATTATTGGGAGAGGAGACGATCGGTCTCTCTCCCCAGCGGCAGTGTGTTACAGGGAGTGGAGATGGTCGGTCCCTCTCCCCAGCAGCTGGTCCTGTCGCCCAGAGACAGGCCCCCTAGCTTAGATGGTGCAGATGGGACAGAGGTCTCTGCACCAGCCCTATAGGGATGTTGGGCAGCCTACCCAGATCCACAGCTGACCATTCACAGTCATGGCCCAGGTGCAGGAGACGGAACTACGGCCTCTACAGACCTCCTTCCAACAGAAGAGCTGGCATCTGGGCAGAATGCAGCTCGTCTTTGCCCTTTTGTTCTGAGGCCTGACGACCCACAAGCCAACCCAACTGAACCGCTGGCTATGGGACAGAGCGCCGCTGGCCTCTGCCTACCAGGCACTGATGAGGGAAACTGCACCCTCCATCCCCAGAGAGTACTTGGTCCATCCAGGGGGAAGTGCATCCAGGTTGTTTCCCCACAGTTCACTGGATGTACAAATGGGCACTTGTGGCAGGAGGCCGTCTGGACAACTACGCTTTTTGGGAAAGGCCACCAGACCGATTGGAGGTCTGGGGTCTGGATAGTCTCCCCGGAAGGGGGAAGATATTTGACAAGCTCCACTCTCCAAGTGAGTTGCCACAAGCTCCTGGAGGAGCCTGCTTGCCAGCCTCCTTCCCACAGACTATGGGCTTTGCAGGGAAACCTGTAAAAGACTGCAAAACTTGACTGACCGCTGGCACTGATTTCCCTGGAACTGTTTTGGGCATAGGACCATGTGCACGGTCGGTCAATATGTGACTTCCAGGAAATTCTGGAACCCCTGAACTGATCTGGGTGATTTTTGGATATGTTGGTCACTGTAACGGCTACTCAGCTGGAGAGGGGTATCTGCCATTGGAGACGTCCCAAAAAGCCTCATTTGTTTTTCCTGATAGCTTTCCAGCCAAAATAGTGACCCATTGGTCTGGTGGTATCCGGTGTAGTGAGCACTGCCTCTCAAAGTCATCCAAATACCCGTCAATCTCTTCCTCACTTTCCACAAATGCTTTGAACGCAGTGAACGGTATTTTCTGCCCTGTAGCAGCGGGTGGGGGAGTATGAACTGTATGTGCAATGGGTTGTCTAGCTCTTGCTAGTTCAAGTTCGTGTCCCCTCCTATTTTGTATCTCCGTTCTTGCTTCCCGGAACAGTTCCACGGATGTTGCTGGGTACATGGATAATCTCCGCTGAACAAGATTTGTAATTTCCTCCTCCTCGCTGACGGGTAGGTTGGTCCGCGACCTCCATGGATCGATCCATCTCGTCCAGCTCCAGTAGGTCAGCTATCAGCTCTCTCCATGGTCAGTTGCTGGCACTCCTTCCTCTGGTTTCCAATAGAACCTTTAGTGTGGGTCTTTTCAGTTTAGCGTACTGGAATTCCATTCAGCACTTGCTTTGGGGATGAAAAGGACCATCCCGCCGCTGCCACCAATGTAATGGCTACCCAGCTGGAGAGGGGTATCTGCCGTTGGAGACGTCCTTTTCTAGGCAAGCTGCTGTGAAGTAATGGAGTTCTTATTCCCATCCACGATATCCAAGTGTATAATCCGGCAGTACTGTAAAATGAGGCAGAGTAACGGTACCATAAATCCCCTCCAAGAATGAGACGAGGCTACGTTTTGAAGGGTCAAGTAGAACTGATGTTTATTGACAGGGGTCTCCTTTTTTGCAATGGTGCCCTCTGAAAGGCTACACCCACATAATTAACACAACAGCCAATTAGATACATGGTTCAACCCCCACGTCTCCTCCCCTCAGATAACCTATAACATAATTAAAACAGACACAATTTTAACCACATTCTGGATGTACCCCAAAAACAGGGGGTACACCTTTATGTCCAGCACCGCTTGACAATATGTCCAAATTTCAGCCCATTCGATTGAGGGGTTCGGGAGTTATGGATCTTTGAAGTTTTGACCGACCGCACAGGTTTTCTAGCCGAAAAGAGTTCCATAAGTTTTGGCCTTGCGGTCGGTCTCCGTTCGTGCATTAAAACCCCACGAACTCCTTGCCATCCACAGTCATCCTGGTGTTTGCTGGAATCCCTATGAGAGCTTAAACAAAACTACCGAACGGCCGGTTGTTCGGTAGTTCCAGCACGAACTTACGAGCTCCTGGAGGTCTCAGCGGTGTTCTCCTGTTTGCGTATCCATTTTTAGTTCCATGCGTTCACAGGCAAACACTGCTATTCGTGCATAAGATGTCCCGAAATGGCGGCCATCTAACCTGAGCACAAAGGAATTCGTATGAACCATGCGAACGGCTCCACAAGCGCTGGGAGGTAAAATACCAATTAACTGTTCCCCTGGGTGGTCCGATGTTTGGTATTTTGGGCTGTATTCTCTAGTAGGAATATTTCCACGAAAATAGCCATTCGGTTTTTGTGTAATACATCCAGCAGCGTTGTTATCTAAGTCCAGGCAAAAAGCATGGGCAAAAGCATAGTTCTGTTACAGTCACCCAGATCAGGGCTATCAGGGGATGTAACATCTGTGGAGATATCGTGTGTTTTGGGGTACTTTTGGGACTTTTTAGAAATGTGTGTTTTTTTTCTGTGCTTGGAGATAATTGGATTAGATTTAGTACAGTTACTGATTCATGTGTGGGAGTGCCTTGCATTGTAAATGTGTTATTATTGGTTTGTAAGTTTGTGTCACTGTCCCTAACAAGGTCCATGTGGGCGTACCCCTTGCTTGGGGACTTGTGTAAAAGGCCAAGTGTGGCACCATTAAAATCTATTCCAGCTTACACTCCAAAACTGTGTGTCGTCCTGTTATTGGAGGGAAAGAAGATTTACTCCTGTGTCTGCTGTTCAAGATGCAGGGGATTCAACAGGGAGTCCTTGTAAGGACTAGAGCTCCCAGGACTGAGTGTCGTACAGTGCCTGGGGGTGTCTAGAGCTTATTCCCCATTCGGTTCCAGGAAGGAGCGGTTCCAGGGCCCCAGTCAAGCCACAGTGACTGTGGGCAGATGTGCAGAGGTTTGTCCCCTGTTCCAGCTATGAAGCGGTCATTTGGCGGAGGTACCCAGTCAGGGTACAGGGAGCTCTGTTACAATTGGATTGGCTGATTTATTGTCACATTCCAGCTGCAGCGAGACCGACATACCGAGGGACTACAGGTGAGTAAAATAGCTCTCTGTTACTATTTCAGGGCGGTCTAGTAATCTTACTACGAAGGGAAACACTCTAATGTTGGAAATACACGTGTCTAACGTTTAATGTCTCTTTTACATTATTATTATTTTTTATCTGAGGATGTTTGAAATTTATTTAAAAGGACGTTGTTTTTATGTATAGATCTCACTGCTCAATTATCTGCCAATTTGGAGTTAAATCACATTTGTTTCTGTCCATGCAGCCTAGCCACAACTCTCCTGGCTGTGACCGACACAGCCTGCAGGAGATAGAAATGGTTTCATTTTCAATCCGATGTTAACTTCCTTTAGAAGTTTTTATCTCATGCTCTGTAATATGAAATGTAATCACACACTGGAGGATCCTGCAGGGTCTAGAAGGCTTTTAACAGAGCAGGAGACACATTTGAAATTAAACAGAACGTGCAATTAAAGGGACACTCCAGTGCCAGGAAAACAAACCATTAGACCTCCCCATAGGAAAGCTTTGGAAAATGATTTCAATGCTTTCCTATGGGGATTTCAGCGACGCAGGAGGTCCTCACATTGCGTGAGGACATCCAGCGACGCTATAGCACAGCAAATCTGTGCATAGCAAATCTGTGCTATAAACCCTAGTGTACAGCCTCTAGAGGAGGAGTTAACCCTCCATGGTAAATATTGCCATTTAGTTGCAGGGTTATGGGTAGTGGGAGTTGGCAGAAGTGGTCTGGGTGCCTGGAGTGTCCCTTTAAGGAAGTATAAACATTAGATCTAATTTTACAGGAAGTGTTATGAAAGGCTGTGTAAGTCATATGTAGGGAGGTTTGGCTAGGCTGCTTAAACAAAGTGATTTAACTCCTAAATGGCAGAGAATTGAGCAGTAATGTTGCAGAAACATGCTATATACACCAAAACTGCTTTATTAAGATAAAGTTTTTCGGTGACTATAGTGTCCGTTTAACCATATTGTTATATTAATATTTATTAGTATATTAGTAAAGTGCCTACTTAAATACATTGTATATCTGTAATTACAGAGCCACAGAATATCCTAATTCCTGACCACAACCCCAGAGTCGGTTCTCGGGCTGCCTGATTGGCTTAATGATGACAAACACAAACAGGAATCAGATGACCGAGAGGTTCCTGGATCTGACCCTGGAGGTCAACTACCTGCTGACTGGAGAGGTGAGGGATTCTGGGAATGTCACAGCAACTACACAGTTTGTCCCTTTTGTTTTTTTTTTTAGCTTACCTCCCTGTCTTCACATATAAGATAAGATCCAGTAGATTATGGACACGTCTTTAATTATTAATAATCAATGGGATTTCACTGTGAGATGTTCTAGCTTTATTTTTCAATAAGGCAATTGACGTTCTCTGTAGGTAGATATGATTTTTGTTCTTATGCTTTCCACACCCAGTCCAGGGAGCATTGAGCTAACCATGCTGGGAAAGTGCAGAGAGGGAGTCTGATTCACTGCACATCATTGCACAGCTTGTGCTGTCAGTAGCCAGCCTGATCCGTGGGATTTCTCCAGAGCAGGCCCACCTTGCTGTGTTTCTCTCTCTTCCTGCTGTGTCTCACGAAGGAGCTTGCTGCTACTGCACAATGATGTCCTGTCTTTGTCATTAGTGTACTGGTCTGAAACTGGGGTGGGCGGGTAAGAGGATAATTATTTGAATTGAAAAGGCCAACCCTTTTACCGTGTGTATATGTAGCCTATGTAGTGACCGTATTTGTCGCTGGGATGCTTAATTTGCATATTGTCCTTTATAGACAGACGGAATATGAAAGTCATAAATATCCTTTACTGAGAGATGTGTATTTTTATTAGGTGCTTAATATTGATTAGAATGCCTCTCTCTATATAGGATTATATAATTGTGAAGAGATCTGGTGAGTTGATAATACAGGGCAGAATCCCTCGTGCGTCAGATGGATCCAGCAGGACCCAGAGCCCCAGCATGGTGCCTCTACCTCACTCACTGATACAGGATAGAAACAATGAGCAGAAGGTCCTGAAACTGACCAATCAGATCATCCACCTGCTGACTGGAGAGGTGAGGCTGCTGGGAATGGGACATCATAGAGTAAAACCAAGGGATGTGTCTGGGTGGTGACTGTATCATTGTGTGTGTCAGGTTCCTGTTAGGTGTGAGGATGTGTCTGGATGGTGACTGTATCATTGTGTGTGCCAGGTTCCTGTTAGGTGTGAGGATGTGTCTGGATGGTGACTGTATCATTGTGTGTTTCAGGATCCTGTTCGGTGTGAGTATGTGTCTGGATGGTGACTGTATCATTGTGTGTGTCAGGTTCCTGTTAGGTGTGAGGATGTGTCTGGATGGTAACTGTATCATTGTGTGTGCCAGGTTCCTGTTAGGTGTGAGGATGTGTCTGGATGGTGACTGTATCATTGTGTGTGCCAGGTTTCTGTTAGGTGTGAGGATGTGTCTGGATGGTGACTGTATCATTGTGTGTGTCAGGTTCCTGTTAGGTGTGAGGATGTGTCTGGGTGGTGACTGTATCATTGTGTGCCAGGTTCCTGTTAGGTGTGAGGATGTGTCTGGATGGTGACTGTATCATTGTGTGTGTCAGGTTCCTGTTAGGTGTGAGGATGTGTCTGGATGGTGACTGTATCATTGTGTGTGCAAGGTTCCTGTTAGGTGTGAGGATGTGTCTGGATGGTGACTGTATCATTGTGTGCCAGGTTCCTGTTAGGTGTGAGGATGTGACTGGATGGTGACTGTATCATTGTGTGTGCCAGGTTCCTGTTAGGTGTGAGGATGTGACTGGATGGCAGGGCGGACTGGGGACTAAAGCCTAGGAAAAATTGTGCCTTACTCGCCATATATTGTCGATGTATGTAAGGCTTTGTCTTGCCAGGACAGATGAGTAATATATATATATATATATATATATATATATATATATATATATATATATATATATATATATATATACTCTCTCTCTATATATATATATATATATATATATATATATATATTGCTTTTCTAATATAAAATATTGGTACTTTCAGGTAAAAGCGTTTAATTATATAGTAAGCATAAGCACATGCAGACACAGGCAATTTCACTGACATTTCAGTGACACACACAAGCTCATTGATACACAGCCTCATTGACAAACAATCTTACTGATATACATCAGCTCATTGACATAAAAACACAAGCTCACTCACTAGCAGGCACACGCATGCAAACAAGCTCACTCACTAGCAGACGCACACACACAGCTTAATGTGGTGGTACTGGTGTCTATAGCATGTCCCTACAGGCTTTTCAACGTAAACACTGACTTTTCAGACAAAAGGCAGTGTTTACATTGCTTCAAAGTGACACTGCTAGTGACAGTCACTCAGGCGGTCACTAGAGGTGCTTCCTGTGTTAGTGCC